AAAAAAAAAAAAAAAAAAAAAAAAGAACCCAAGGGATAATGGATGAGATTGGAACCTTGCAGTGCTTGCCTGAAAGGTGTTTGATGTTTGGACCGAGAATAAGGGTTTTACTGCCAGAGGAAATTGGCGTTTGGTTTTGTGAACAGTGTGGAATAGGAAGTGGGTTTTCACTATATCTTCGTTTATGGTGAAGGACATTGATTGCAGTGGTTGAGATTTGCTAATTTTCTGTCTGGTTTTATTCTATCCCGTACGAAATAAGGTGTCTTAATCATGCCATGTATGATTTAGATTTAAGAAGGTTTTATTGTATTTTTTAAATTTTAGAGAATTGTCTTCAAATTATAAGTTACACTTAGTTGGTGACCATTATGGTATTGATGGCTATGAAAGTTACAACATGAAAGTTATAACCTGGTTATTATATGGTTTATTTTCAAGGTTATAAATAGTTATTTATGTTATTGCTTTCGTATGAAGATTTTGGATATTATAATGATAGTTGCATATTATGGCCACGAGTTTGTTCTTTTGCATTTCTTGTGTTTAGATTTGCATGCTAGAGTCATTCAAATAGTCTTGATCAAGCTATCTTGTGGAGTTATTTGAATCACGAATTTAGAAACGAGTTTTTTTTACTCTTGATCTTGATCATCAAGGTAATTTGTTCCAAAACTTTTCTTTGGGTTGATTCCTTATCGTTTTTTGGGTTTCTTGGATAATTTAAATCTAGAGATCTCGTTCTTTTACAAGGTTTTCAGATCCAGTTCCAAGTTTTTCATAACAAAAACGAGATAGAATAGAGTTACGATTCGATTATGAACTTTTCCAAGATAACACTTTTTACTTTTTACTCTAATTCTCCATGTAGCTGTGGCAATTGAAAAGTTTTCTGGCTGCAGGAAAAGCATTACCATCTACATAGAGCCAGCCACACACTTGACGAGTTTTCTTTTTTTTTTTTTTCTTTTTTTTTTTTGAAGAGAAGGATGTCTGAAATCTAAAAGTCTTGGTTTTTACTATTTTCTAGTTTACTCTCTCCGCTGACGCCAAACAATTTTCTTCCACAGATTATGGGTTTTACTTATTCATTTTGTTCTCAGAATCAAACATATGGTATATAGTTCGTTATGAACTCAAGAAGATGTTGGCGTTCTATTGTGAATATTATTATGCTTTTATTTTTATTTTTATTTTTATTTTTATTTTTATTTTTACATTTCTCTAGCAAATTGATTTTCTGGACTCTGTTGCACCTTGCTATTTTTTCTATTCATAATTTTCACTTTGTACAAGTAGAGAAAGTAAAGTGTTGTTTACAATGCCATGGGACCATAAGCTGTACTGTAATGTTTAACTGTTTAAACGTCATTAATGGACTGCAGGTGGTAAACAAACTGAAAGTAATAGCATCCCCCATCCGATGCTCTAGAATCAGAGTTGGAAGAAGGATGTGTCATCTTCTTTAGATTAATTTGATGTACTTTTCTACCTATTGTAGGCTAAAGGCCCTTCCACCTATACAAAACTGACAAATGGCTTTATCTTCTCAGTTCTTGACCCCTAGGGACTGGCATGTAACATCCCTTAGTTCAAACCTTCTTTGTGGTACTCCATTGTGGTTGCACTCCAATGTCGGTTGCAAGTACCAAAGAAAAGAAAATTTCAAGACTTGTTATACTTTAACACCTCGTGCCTCTGTTAAGATTGTCCGTAGTCGTCCATTAGATCGGCATGCTGTAAAACATAACAAAACTCGATTTGTACAAAAGCTGATAATCCTGCTGCTGTCTAAACCAAAGCATTATATACCAATCCACATTCTTTCCAAGTGTCGTGGCTATCTTTCCCTTCCCAAACCCCGCTCTCTTCTTTCAATGATTCATCGTTATCCTTCCATTTTTGAACTTTTTTCAATCCCTTATCCACCCACACCACTCAATGCAACTAAGCTATACCCCCAACTTTGTGTTCGTCTAACCCCAGTAGCAGCATCTCTTGCTAAGCAGGACTCCAATCTCAAATTGGTGATCTCTAACACCCTGGCTGAAAAGCTCCAGAAGTTACTTATGCTTTCTTCGCACCACAGGATTCTCTTATCCAAGCTGGTTCACCTTGCTCCCGACCTAAGCATGCCCCCAAATTTTAGGTCCCGTCTCTGTAATGATTATCCAGAAAAATTCAGGACTGTCGACACTTCATATGGCCGTGCACTGGAGCTTGTCTTCTGGGACCCAGAGTTGGCAAAGCCTTTACCTTGCCTTCAAGTTTCTTCACGTGAGCTAATAGTGGATAGACCTTTAAAATTCAACTTGTTGAAACTAAGAAAGGGACTGAACTTGAAAAGAGCCCACCAGGAATTTCTAATTAAGTTCAGGGATTTGCCAGATGTTTGCCCTTACAAAACTCCTGCGAGTGAGTTGGCTAAGGAGTCTCTCGAGTCAGAGAAACGAGCTTGTGCTGTAGTGCGAGAGGTATTGGGGATGATGATTGAGAAGAGGACTTTAATAGATCACTTGACACATTTTAGAAAAGATTTTGGGCTACCCAATAAACTTAGAGGAATGATTGTGAGGCATCCAGAGTTATTTTATGTGAGTCTGAAGGGTCAGAGAGACTCTGTATTCCTTGTAGAGGGGTTCAACGATAAGGGTCATCTAATAGAGAAGGATGAGACTTTGGCTATCAAAAATCAATGGATGAAGCTTTTGATGGAAGGGAAAAGGATGAGACGGGAGAAGAGGAAGGCTCAAATATATGACAGTAGATATGGAAATGATCATGAAAATCATAGTCATGACCATGAGATGGAAACTGACTATGATGATGATTACGAAGATGGTTTTGAGAGTTTATTTCAGTATGAGGATTTAGATTTTGAGGATGAGGAGAGTGATCTGCCAAGCAATAGGTCAAATGGAGACTTTTGGACTACAAATAATGCAGCAGATATTATAAATGGCGAAAATGGAGGACATATAAAACCGTGGTGATGGTTAATATAACTTGTTTGATATATTTGGAAGATTCATCAAAATATTTCTACAGTTAACGTAAACAAAGTGCCTCTTCAGTTTGTTTATTAAATTCAGAAAAAGCACTTTGTGAACATAAAGGTCAGGCTTGGAAGCTCAAAGGATGTTTAAATGTAGCCTGGTGATCTTTAGGAAGGGCTGAAGCCACTGCCTCTTGGCTCATGTATTTGTGCTTGAGCAAGGTCCCCATGAATGTATGCTCTGCTGATATAACACTATACCTTCTCCAGCTGTATATTGAACTTGCTTGTCATGTTCGTTTATCTCCTCAAAATGTAGAATGATTGGAATACCTTATGGAGTGTGAACAAAACTTCTCCCTAATCAAGAGGGATGTATGAGAGATAAGTCCTAACTCCTGTTTACGTGTACCATTTGATACACTAAGACAACATATTCCAGTTAATGAATAATGTAAATATTCAGATATAGTTCGGTACCTCGTCTCTACTCCTTGGTCGCAGGCAGTGAATGTATTCAGATTAATTTTCTCCTCTTTGGGACAGTGTTAATAAGAGGGTATTTTCATTTTTTGTTTACTAATTACTCATTTACTGTTTCTTATTTTTAGTTTCTAAGAAGCATGTGTTTAGCAACTATTGTTCCTTCTCGTTTCTCATTTTTAAGAAACAAGAAACAATTATGAATCACTTTTTTTCTTTCGTATAAAACAGAAAACATGGAATACGAAACAGGATCCTCACCAAATAAGTCCTAAATTCTTCTGTTAAACATGTGAATAATGTTTAAAAATTTCCTCCCCATAATTTTGATTATATGTATGTATCACGTCTTGTGTATTTGCGGGAGCATTATGGATGGATCCTTCTAGCTTTGGTTGTATCCTTAGTATATGCTCCTAAACTGATGAATTGGCTTCTGATGACTGCACAGTAACAGATATTCTGTGTGGACAGATACGGGTCAAACATTTTTATCCATACTATGATGTGTTACACGTTTTGCCATATATCCTTAATTTCAGTTCTCTGCAGGTGTATTAATCTTATGCCTATTTTACTGCTGTTTTCTGAGGTTTGTCTAGCTTTTTATACACAGAATCATTGTTTATGATTTTTAATATATTTTCTTATTTTGATTCAGAAAATAGATAGGTGATGCCAGACATCTTCACTGACGAGACTTTGTTTCTTCTTGATGTTTGTTGGACTCTAGTTGTTTGATGAACACACATACCAATTATTACAAATCAAAAGGTTTGTTAAAAGACACACCCACGCCATCTTTCAGCAGAAAGCATACTTGAAATGTGCGTCATGTTTTGTGCAATTGATATGCATGCATTTGTGCTAATCATTTGTGTTGAATGTTTACTTTAGGTGAGTTCGTGATAACTTTTAGAAGGTTAAACCGTGTTTTAGTCATTCAAAAGTACTTATCAAAATTTTAATGTTGATTAGTTACTTAGCAAAAGTGACTATGTTCGATGAAAGGAAGCGCTTAATGAGTGTTGTTTTAAAAAATACTTACTCTTAAAAGTTACCTCAAGGTATGTTCATTGTGAAAACAATACTTATATTACAAATTGTGCAATCATGTGCTTTGTGCTCCGTGTAATTGATATGCATGCATTTGTGTTCATTATTTATGCTGAATGTTTATCTTGCAAAGGGTTTAGGAAGAGTTGATGTTCTTAGAAACTCACAGAAGCTAAATTTTATAAGCTTGTGTGGAGGGCACATATTCTGTCACTAGCAATCTGATTTGGTCCCTACTAGTGTTCTGAAAAGGCCAACAAAGCATGTGTCTAGTCACCACGATGCGACTTCCTGCAATGTAGATGAAAACAAAGGAATCGACGAACATCGAAAACAAAGCATAATGATGATGGTATCAGTTTGAGTTTTCAAATGTTCTTATCAATTATTGCTTTAAACCTTTTCTCCTAGCATGTATTATACTTGCAATTCTCAGAAAACATCTCCTGCAACCTTTTTTAATGCATGTATGTTTAGAGCCTTAGTTGGAGGAAGCAAAGGAAGTTTCCTAAATCAAAATGAACTTTTTGTTGGAAATGATAACCTTTTGGTGAATCTTCCAATAAAAAGTGGGACATAGCATAATCATATGCATCAAATTTACAGTAAATAAATGCATAAAAAGCTTATATAACTTATTAGTCATGCAATTCAAAGTATTCATTGTTTATTATCTGTAGGATTTGTAAGTTGTAATGAGCCATCTCTGACAGATAAAGATGAAAAAGAAAGGCTTGCAAATTTTTTTGAAGTATTGGGATACTGTTTCAGGCTTTTCAGGGTCCATGCTTTGCCTTCTTAATAGCCAACAGAACCATCAAAGAAGCAGCTAAGTTAAACCAACCAACCATTTGCTTTCATTTTGTTGGCTTTTAAGGCATTGCAAACTTCAATGGTCCAGAAAAAAGGCCCCAACAGATAGATTCTCGTAAGAATATTCTTCCTTATAATTGCTTCATTTGTTTAGCAAAATTTAGACCTTAGAATCCTTTTCACATTGTGTTTTCTTCATTCTTTCTAAGACTTTAGACTAACTTCAATATAAATATTTTGAAACTCAACTTAGACGTGAAATAAACTCATATATCATTTGATCCATGAAGTTTATGCTACATTTTACTTGATGCATCTAACTTTTCTTCAATACACTTTCTAATATGATAAGCTTTCGAGTGTCAATATACCATTTATACAGGTACCCATTCAAAGAAATCATATACCATTTAGACAAGAGGTATCTACTTGAAGAGGTCATATACCATTTAGACAGGTATACACTCGAATAGGTTATATACCATTTAGACATGTATCCACTCAAACTGATCATACACCATTTGGACAGGTATCCACTCGAATGGGTCATATACCATTTAGACGGATATCCACTCTGAGAAGTCATATACCATTTAGACGGGTATCCACTCGAAGAGGTGAGATATTTAAATTTCTTGAAGTAGGTAGTATATTGATTAATGGTAGAGAAAGAGGGACAAAAAGTGTTGAGAGTTGCATGATAAGTGGGAGAATATGATGAGTAGAGAGAGAGAATGAATATATTGGGAAGAGAAGCAGCTAGGAATGGCACTCTATACAAAGAGCATGCCTTCCCATTGCAAAAGCTTTAGTTTTCCCCTTCCTTGTGCATGCTTTTTATTACTCTAATCATGTCTGTTCCCTTAACCTAATTACTTCCATTCCCCCAAACACTCATATCTTCCTAACTACCTAACTATCTTCGTGTAATTTAATTAATATATATTTATTTTTATAATAGAGACTAAATAATTACAAATTAAAAAATAAAGCTAATAATTTATGAAAATAAATTTGTAGAATATTCAAAGATAATAGTAGCGTCCACGTCACCCAGTTGGCACCACCGACATGGTTACTATTAGAGAGTCTCATACTCTATGGCAAAATAGTAGTGACGTCAAAATTCCTTTTTATATATATATATATATATATATATATATTTTTAGAGATAATTTAGAAGATAGGAATAAAATATTCTCAACTTTTCTTTAAAAAAAATTATTGGATATGAACATGATGTGTTTATATATTACACTTATTTAATTTAGGTTCATTTGTTTGTTTGTTTGTTTTTTTTTTTTTTTAATATTTTAGAAGGAATTAATTAATAGATTTGAAAACATTGAATAAAATTAGAGTTAAATATTGTTTGGTTAGTCAGCGTCGTTTCTTTACAAGCACGTCGGATAGAGGGTAGAGCCTCACTTAACTTGTCTCAAAGCATGTTTTACAGCAAAAAAAAAAAAAAAAAAAAAAAAAAA